ATTTTTTGTTGAATATCTTGCCCTGGCAACGAAAACAGATATCAAAAAATAGTAAATACCATTGTTATTCATTTTGTAAGGGCTTTTAGATTACGAATGCGTCCTGTAGGTTTGATATAAGACGCTGAAAGAAAATAATAAGAATGAAATTGCACTTTCCATTGTTAGTGTTATCATCTCCCACTGGCTCTTTGTTATTCAACTTTCCAAGGTTTACTCAAAACTTTTGGTGTATAATAAAGAAAAGATATAACAATGTTATTCAACAGTAGATGTAGTTCTCGTTATAAATAAATTATAAGAAATCTTCAAGAAATTGTTTCTTATTGAACCAGACCGAGTAATCCGAAAATCATTCTTTGCTTAAGGCTCGTCGTGAAAAAGGAATCAATAACAGAAAACTTTTCAGATTTTGTTTTGCGACTGTCAATGTGCGAGCGAGGGATATCAGATGCTACATGAGGTTTCGGTTCAACTTTGGACCGCTTTCCCAGCCGTATAGAAGTTGTTTTTAAGAGTTCGTTTAAATTGGAGGGGGGGAACAAAAAGACAGCAAAAAAAATAATCCTACTTCGATTTGGATTTCAAAACATCTAAGTGATATAATATCAACTCTAGTCTACACCAGGTAAAGTACATTCTTAGTTGTATTTTAACTAGATGGCGTCATGTTTCATGTCTTATGTGTCCGATATATATCGACTACACATAGCATGCACCTGTCAGCCTGAGCGAATTCAGTATTCATTTCTTCTTATTCTTAATTCTTCTTCTTCATATTTTTTCTTCTTGTTGTTTGAAGTAATATTTCAAACACGCGAGAGAGTTCTTCCTTCGATTTCCACCTAAAATTGAGTTGAAAAAACGAGGCGCAGCCGGGTTTTTTTAACTGACTTTGAGGTGTTTGGAAATCGAAGGAAAAACTCTCTCAAGTGTTTAAAATTACTTCTCAAACTCATGAATATTTAGAATGTAATGGTAATGCCTGTAGAGTGAAACTCACGGCTGAAAGAGCCCCTTAAAGGGAACTTTAGGGTTTTTTTCCTTCTTCTTCTTTTACCAATGTCTTTGATAGAAATCATTTCGGAATTTTCTTTCTCTTCTAGAATTTTATAGATTTTCCCTCCAAAACATAGTGGCCATGTATTATATGCCTGGAGTAAAATATCAGAAATGACACGTAAAAAAGATATAGCAATTGTCTTCAAGAAATATATCTTTACGATGCAAAAACCTCGTAGGAGTTCTTCGTGATACGAATTTGTATTCATTTATTTTAGTTTGTTTGTCTGTTTGTTTGTTTGCTTGCTGGTTTTTTATTTATTTATTTATTTATTATTTATTTTCTCACTACATCTAATCTCTAACCACGGTTTCAACATGGCCAATTCAGCTATTGAGTCACTGAATCGAGATAAAATTTGGTATTTGTATTTAGTACTAATGCCCATAACGGTTTCAATACATAACCATCATTTTTCTGATTTAAGTCTAGATATGTCATGCAATCTTTATTCGTTGATGTTTCTGACATGCGCAATAGCGTCCTGCGGAGCAATTTGCAAAAAGATGGCGATTTTTGACAAAAATCAAAAAGGTGAGAAGTTGAATTCATTTGGCTTTTTTTACAACAAAAGTATTACTTTTTTAAAACTCAGTTTTCATTCTATGAAATTAACAGGTCGAGCACTGAGTGGTCACGTGATATCAAGCCATGACGTCACTTCCCGTTTCGACTGTGCATTCAAATGTCTTGAAACTGGTGGTTGTAAGTCGTACAATTACCAAGAAACAGGTTCTCCACTCCACGTATGTGAGCTTAGTAACCACACAAAGACCTCCGCGTCATCTGATTACCTCATCAAACCAGGCTTTACGTACTATGACGCTGAGCAGTTCGTAAGTACAAATCATTATTTATTATTATTTATCATTAGAAATATTTCTGTATTAAGTTGTGATGTTTCATTTTCAGGTTTTACCCGTGTGCGCTTCTTCTCCTTGTCAAAATGGCGGCACGTGTGGTATCGATGAATGTACTGATTCTTACGAGTGTCTGTGTAAACCTGGATACATTGGTCAATACTGTGAGACCTGGAYCGGTACGTAGACTGAYCATCGCCCAACACTTGGTACCATTTTAGCGGGAAACTGTCACTCACGCCTTAAAGGATAAACAAATKTCWTTATTGTTTAACAGGTATTGGTTCATCGTCAAGTAAACCAGGCCATTCATGTCAGAACATCAAAAACACTGCACAAGACACTGGAGATGGTAGATACTGGATTAACCCAGACAACACAGGAACCCCATTCACTGTGTACTGTGACATGACCACTGACGGAGGTAAGATGTGTT